AGGGAGGGAGGGAGGGAGAGAGGGAGGTAGGGAGGGAGGGAGGGAGGAAGGAAAAAGCTATATATATTGTGTTTAAAATTAAGCAAGTATAAAACAAATTTAAATTCTCCAGAAGTTTTCTTCCTATTCACTTGCCAATAACATGTTTATACAATAATTGTTCCAATTTGTTTTATTGGCATGTTTATTCTGAAGATCTTAAAAATGTGACTTTTTGACTTGAGATATATGAGTTCTGATAAAAAAAAAAATCAAGGGATACACATACAAATCCTCATGAAATACACTGCACATCAGATAGAGATTAGCATGTTCCAGAAAGTCTCTTAATCATTGTAGTTAAAGCAAATACTTCCCTGAGATTCCTAGAGGCCAAAGCAGAGGAAGAGAGAAATTAAAGGTTCTACTTCAAAAGAAATAATTTTTTTGACAAATTCTCATAATATTTCTCATCTGAAGCTTGTATTGCAATTTCAGCAACATCCCCACATGAATCACCAGCAAATTTAATTAGCCTGACGTAAAGCCTAATCTATTCTCTAAAGGTAGTCATGAAGTAATTCATTTAATTTACTGATATATCTATATACAGAGCTATAATTAGAATATATATTCTAATTTTGAGTAGCAGCTAATGGATTTGGATGGCTAACTCAAAAGAGATTCTTTATTTCCTCCTATCCTGTCCTGCATAGGCACGTTTTAACTGTCTACTCATGAAAATTTTCACATTAAGTTCTCCCCAATGGAATAGCTACAAACATGTTTCAAGCCAGTTAATGTTAATACTTTAGTTTAGCATTAATAAATATCTAGGTCACAGGGGTATAGTAAAAATTAATGGAGTGAAGAAATTACATTTGTGATCTTGTTTTCAAGTTCAGGGAGGGGGTCATAAATAAACACAAAGCTGATGTGTCCTTGCTGATAGTGAATGTTAGTGGTTATCAAGATTATTCTTGACAAAAATATATTTTCTTCCAGGAATTTACGTTCATCATGAGGGTAATTTCTTTACATAGTGGGGTGATCTCTCTTCAGTGACAAGTGAGAACATACCATATCAAATATTGTCACTCTGTTAGCTTATTGCCACCCTGATGAGAATTTGAAATGGATAACGTGACACAGTACACTTTTCAATATCCTTACCCCAAAGCTCATTGCAATCTCTCTAACGTTGGCAACTTTTTTTCTTTTTAGAAATAATTCATGCTAGCAAGTCAAACAGAAAATGAATCAAGAATAAAATCTCCTCGTGCTGTCTCTTGCTTCAGAATATATCTTTATATGCAATCCTCAGTAAATTGATAGTTCATATCTAAATTTGAACATATTGCTTTTCAGGGCATTTAGATGATTTAGATCCAGAGTATTCCATTAGTTTTCCTTGAAGCAGTTGATTAAAATAACCTCCTTAACTTTTGAGAGATTTTATGACTTGTAGACTTTATATTTAAGCCCTTTAATTTAACCTTTCATTTTCATACGAAACTCAAAAATTACTTCTCTGCATTTTTCATAACTTTTTCTTCTAAAATAAAATTGACCTTAGACTTTAAAACCATATTTTACTAGTTTTAAACATAATAGTTTTAAACATAATATAATGAAATTATTTGAATTATCATTTACTCTACAATATATATAGCTCAAGCTTATTGCTTTAGTCTATGAGGCTTTGCCAATAATAACTTTGTTAATTTATTTTAATATTAATCTGAATGAAGAAGTGAAATTAGCCTGAATAAGTTAAATAAAAAACATTATATTTTTGTTACAAAATAAATTAAGCTATTTTTTTCATTGTACCTGTCAAATTCAAAACAACTGTGTGTTTTGTTTTGTTTTGTTTTGTTCTGTGAGACAGTCTTATGTAGCTCAGGCTAGCCTTGAATTGATCTATGTAGCTGATAATGACCTTGAACTTTCAATCTTTCTTCCTCCACCTGCCTAATGCTGGGTTTGCAGGCCTATTCCACCATTCCTGACTACATAATTACTTTTCAAAAAAACTAAAATAAAGTTCTGCTTATTTTTTTAAAGATAGCTTAACTGTTTTTTTAAAGGATAATTCTTTTTCTGTGACTGACACAGCACTGTGACAGTGATTTAAAAAAAAGTAGTTAGATATGGGTAAAAAATCAGTAATAAAGAATAAAGAAATCTTAAATCTGGTACAGGAGTTTCACATTCTTAATTCTATTACACAAAATCCACACTACATTTGTTTCACTTATTAACATTAGCCCAACAGTTACTTTTAATATTTGTGGCAATTGCTAATATCTCTGACCCAGAGTGACTGCCAGTGACGTGGCTTGATTGTCTGGCTTGGCACAGTTTAAGGACACCTGCCCAGGGATGGCACTGCCCACAGTGGGCTGTGCCCACATCTCCCAACTAGAAAATGGGCCAGAGAGTCTCCTACAAAGAATCTGAAGGAGACATTTTCTCAGTGGATGTTTCTCTTCCCATATGACTCTAGATGTGCCAAGATGAGACAATCTAACCAGAAGAGAATAAAATACAATCCTGCTGTGTTTCCTGGTATGGACTTCTGATGGCTTGCCATACCTGCATGTTCTCTCTTTCTCTCCCTATATTGTATTTATTTCTTATTATATTGCATGGCAGCTATTTTGACAATGCATCAAGGCATTAACTATACTAGGCTATGAGCACACTATGCATCTCATGTCTCATCCATTCTTTTAAGTTAATTTTCAGTTTACTGGTCAACCTCTGTCATGTGAGCCCATCATCAACCTTTCAAAACTGACCACGAGTGATTGAATGCAATACCTCTAATGGCTTAATTACTACCCACCTAAAGCATTTGCTCTGAGTCCTGAAAGAAGATTCCTTAGGAGGTACATGAAAACCCACCTCTAATAATTACAAGAATGAAATAGAAATAGGACAGTATATGTCAAAATATAGATGACAGTGATATCATTACTTCATTTAAGAGCAATAGGGACCAGAGAGAAGGCTCAGTGGGTTAGTACACTTACTA